TAAGGCGATAACCACATGTTGAAAACCACCCGCCGTCAATCCGTGAAACTGTGGCAAACTTATACAAAAGAATGTGCGTGGCCCTGAGGCGAGAATCACATTTTGGAAACCACCCGCCCTCCGTGAAGCTCTTGCAAACTGTTCAAGCAAATATGCGCGGCGCTCAAGCGAAAGACACAAGTTGAAAACCCCCCGCCCTCAGTCCGTGAAGCTCTTGTCAGTTTGTCAAAACGACTGTACGCGGCGCTGAGGCGAGAGCCACATTTTGAAAATCACCCGGCTTCCGTCTGTGAAGCTGGTGCCAGTTTGTAAGCTTCAGGCTGATGATTGGCAAGGAAGCTTTAGGCGAAACGCCCGGCCCGCCCTTCCGACTGGCCTCGGGGTGCGACAGGGAGACGTCGTTCACAAGGAAAAATGATGGAGGAACTTCCCCAGCGCAGGCGCGAACACCAACAAGCTCTTTTGTCAGCCTGGCTCCAGCCGACACGTGGGGCACGCGGGAGCGGCCGAGGCGGCACAAGAGAGCCCGACGCGCGAAACACGCGAGAGGGGCGGCAAGGGGGCGGCAAGGTACTCGGTTGGATGGATACCTGCTTCCGTGGCGCGCATGCGACAGATAGGAAGCGTGGTTCTGCCAAGCCTCCACGAGACCCGCCGACGATCCGCAACCAGAGGGAGGGTCTACCCAACCACCACAAGCAGCAGCCGCAGAGGCTCAGCCGAGCAGCACCAGAGGGGACACACAGGGGTCGGAGCACGCAACAGCACCAGCGGAGAAGCAACGGCAGCAAGAGAGTACATAGGGCAACCGCCACAGGGGGATGGCAAACCCCAGCAGGAGGAGGAGGAGGACCAGTGTGGACCCAATACCCATCCCAACACCGATGTTGCAATACATCCTCCGTCCAAGCTTCCTCTTCTGAACTACTATAAAAATATGTTCCCACTGCCGGTAAAACCGCGCTGAAGACAACCGTCCGGAAATCCGCCGGCCCCCTTGTGGGGCCACCAGGCTGTAGGCCGAAGCTTCGCAGTTTCCTGTACCAGTTGCAGCTTCCAGTTTCCACTGTTAGAGTGCTGCTTCTTGCTGCTTACCGTTCCACTGTTACAGTTATGTTTCTTGCTGCTTACTGTTCCGTGTTGATGGACCGCGAGAGGGGGGGAGGCCCAAAACGGGCATTTTTACCACACCCTGAGCGTGTGCTCTGAATTGCTGGGGTGGGTGAAAATTTACACCCCTCACGCAGATCGGAGGGGCCAGGGTCCACAAACACCGGGGATTTGCCACATTTCTGAAATTCGGTGGTACCCCTCACGCAGATCGGCAGGGTCAGGGTCCAAAAACACCGGGGATTTGCCACATTTTTAAATATCGGCGGCACCCCTCACGCAGATCGGCGGGGTCAGGGTCCAAAAAACACATGGGATTTGCCACATTTCTAAAATTCGGCGGCACACCTCACGCAGATCAACGGGGTCAGACCCCAGAAACACATGGGATGTGCCATGTTTCTGAAATTCGGCGGCACCCCTTACTCAGATCGGCGGGGTCAGGGTGCAAAAACAACTCGGAATTTCCATATTTCTGTAATTCGGTGGCACCCCTCATGCAGATCGGCGGGGTCAAAAACACATGGGATTTGCTACAATTCTGAAATCCGGTGGCACCCTCACGCAGATCAGCAGGGTCAGGGTCCAAAAACACGGGGGATGTGCCACATGTTTAAAATTCGGCGGCACCCCTCACGCAGATCGGCAGGGTCAGGGTCCAAAAACATATGGGATTTGCTACATTTCTGAAATTCGGTCGGCGGCACCCCTCACGCAGATCCATAGGGTCAGGGTCCAAGAAACAAAGAGGATTTGCCACATTTCTGAAATTCGGCGGCACCCCTCACGCAGATCCGTAGGGTCAGGGTCGAAAAACAAAGTCCCGACACTGCTTCACGGCGGCGCCCAGACCTCATGATTTAGCTTTTGCATCTCCCATTATCCCAGACAGGGGGCCATCGGCATAGGGGCGAAGCCCTTATGGATCTTCACCCATGCCACATTATCATTCCTGGGACATCAGCGCCACAAAACAACGTTACTATTGCGACCTGACGATCTCAAACCGTGTCAGAACACCATTTCTGGACGTCAACACAGCAACACAGCACGTCAACGTGACGGTCGGGCCCTGACACATCTAAATCGTGGCAGCATCACAATTTCTGGGACGCCAAACATAAGAACCCTTGAAACTGCTGTAAACTGTCAGGACGAATGCAAACGGTTCGATAACCACATCTTGAAACGGAAATGCCCTCAGCCGGTGAAACTAACGCAAATATTTAAAACGAATGCGCGCGGCGCTACAGCGAGAACCGCATTTTGAAAACCACCCGCCCTCCATCCGTGAAGCTCTTGAAAACTGTTCCAGCGAAGGCGGGCGGCGCTGAAGCGAGAACCAAACATTCGAGACCACCCGCCATCCATCCGTGAAACTGTTGCAAATGGCTAGCGTCAGGGTCCGAAATGGTAAGGAGGCCTCAGGAGAAACGCCCCGCCGCCCTAGCGACCTGCCTCGTGATGCGACCGGGACAAGTGTTTCTCAAGGAAGAGGGGTGGAGGGATGGAGGGGCGCAAATGGCAGGCTGGAGCCCTTCGGGACGGAGGCGCGCAGCGGCAGGGGCGCGCCTCCAGGGCGGGGGCCAGCGGATCATCCAGCGCTGCAGCCAGCTGTTCAGCTTGCTCGTGGGCAGCCGCGCGCTCCTTGCGGCCGTCCTTCTCTCCTCTCCCCTCCCTTCTCCTCCCTCCTCCTCCTCCTCCTCCTCCTCCTCCTGCTGTCCCTTCCCCTCTCCCTCTCTCCCCCTCTCCTCGCTCCCGTCTCTCCTCCTCTTCTTCCTCCTCCTCCTGCTCCTCCTCCTCCTCCTCCTCCTCCTCCTCCTCGCTCCCCCTGTTTCTCCCTATCTCCTCCTCCTGGGCCTCCTGGTCCTCCTGGTCCTCCTGGTCCTCCTGGTCCTCCTGGTCCTCCTCCTCCTCCTCCTCCTCCTCCTCCTCCTCCTCCTCCTCCTCCCATTGAGAGCAAGGCACCAGAGGGTGAAAAGGGGGAGACAGATGGGGGCCCTGGGGAAGGGGGGGAGGGGCAAGGGAGGACCCAGACATCCGACGCCGTGATGTTTCACAGCGTGGCTCCCGAGGTCTGATCCCCCCCCTGGGACTGGCACTCCACCCTGAGTCTTTGGTTGACGGTCCTGGGGCAAGGCCCTCCACGACATTGCAACAAAAAAACACAAACCACAAATTGAGTTCCTTGGTCAACGATGTACCTTTCTTGTGCCGTGGAAAATCGCGTGAGCGCAAGCGTGTGCCTGCCTGCAGAGCGCAGGCGTTGCAGCAAGGCCAGCGCGGGCTGCGTGCCATCGGCGCAGCCGAACGCGGTGAAGAACACCTTGGACCAACACGCGTCCTTCGTGCCGGGGATCGACTACAAAATTGCTGAACCCCAAAAATGAAGTATTCGTCGAGCTCATGAGACATGCGTAGAATGTTAGCAGATCGACGAATATCAGATGTGTGCGTCAACGAAAGATCGGCATTGGGGTGAATCAACTCTGCAGACGTTCCCCTACTCGAGTCTTGAGGATCGTCGACTCTCCCTCGTGGCGAAGGGAGGGGGGGTAGGGAGGGAGGAGGGAGCCGTGCTCTGGGGGTCTTCTCCTCCTGCCCACCCTTCAGCAGCTGCCATCATGGGAGCTGCTGCGGGTCTCGCTCCCGTTCTTCAGTAAGGCGTCGATGGCAAGTGGAGGGGGGCGAGGACCTCCTGCAGTCCCTCGGCCAACGAAAACGACTGCGAGGAGGCGACGCCGCAGCGGGTCACTGAATCGCAGAGGGTAGGGGGAGGCGTGCTGCGAGAACTGGTAAGGGGACGGGGACGTGCGCACCTGGCAAACTTCCCATTTCAACGACCATGAATTTGGTGCCGCGCGCACCTGGTCGATTGGAACGCCTTTCCTCGGTCTCAGGTCCCCTTCCCAAATCGTAACCTCCAATACCCGCACCCATGATACCACAAGGTCTCGGCTGGTAACTGGCGTGAACGCCGCACCGCGTTCCCAAACAAAAACCAGAAACTATAAAACCGTATGTTTAGTTTGATCACGCTAGTTGGGGCACATGGTGCAAGCTGAACGATCACTGCCAGTAGTCAAAACGCATGCTGTTGCCCTTCATCTCTCGACAGCCGCACTAGCATCCGAATGTCTATCCTCCTCTTCCCTCCTACTCCTCCTCTCTCTCCTCCTGGTCAATCATCATCATCACCATCATCATCATCATCAGCATCATCATCATCATCATCATCATCGTCATCATCATCGTCGTCATCGTCGTCATCATCATCGTCATCATCATATCCATCACTTTCCTTCGTTTACCCTCTTAATTCCCCTCCACTTGCCTCCTCTCATCCCCGCCCCCCGTCCTCCTCCTCCTCCTCCTCATCATCATCATCCTCTTTCTTTCCTTCCCGCCTTTCCCCACCCACCCACCCCACCCACCCCATCCACCACACTCCTTGTCGTCCTCCGCCTGGCTCCCCTCCTTTCTCATTCCCCCCTCGTCCTCCTCCTCCTCCTCCTCCTCCTCCTCCTCCTCCTCCTTCTCCTCCTCCTCCTCCTCCCTCCTCCTCCTCCTCCTCCTCCTCCTCCTCCTCCTCCTCCTCCTCGTCCTCCTCCTCCTCCTCCTCCTCCTCCTCCACCTTCTCCCCCTTCTCATCATCTTCATAATAATAATTGAACTTTCCCGATCCCTCCTCCCTGTCTCCACCACCACCACTCTCTCGTTTTCCTCCTCCTCCTCCTCCTCCTCCTCGTCCTCGTTCTCCTCCTCCCACCGCAACCCCCAAATCCCATTATGTACGTGCCTCCTCTCGTCGTTCTTCTTCACAGCCTCCTCCTCCTCCTCCTCCGCCGCCTCCTCCTGTTCAATCCTTCCTTGTTGCTCCTCTTTCTCTTGCGTCGGCCAGTTGGGAAACCTTCTCTGCCGCCCCTAGCCAGGGTGTCCACGGCATAATCGTGGTACCCCGAAGCTGGCGTTGGCCATTCCAGTCTGTTTTCGAGACCGTCAGATGTTCGAGTGATGCGGCAACTGACCACAGAGGTGCTCTCCTCTCACATATTCCATAGCATTTCCTCGTCCTCCTCTCGCTCCTCACCCCCCTCCCCAGGCATCGTGCCTTCATTGTCGTCATCACCGTCATCACCCGGCAGGGCTGGAAGGTTGAGAACGGACAGCCACGAGAGTTGGGCCCTGCTGGCCTCGGCACACCTCCAGGGTAGCCCGGGCCGTCTCAACGCGCCAAGACCCTGGGACCGGGACAGCGTTGAGCGCCCCGAGGGTGCAGCCGGCGTGTTGAGACCGCTCCGTACGAGAACGGCGTCCATGCACAGGACCATGATTGGACTCCCTTCAGACCCCATCCAACGCGGTACGGTGCGTAGTTTCCCGCTCTGAGGGCAGAGAAACGATGCACCATACCATTCCTGGGTCGAGGATCGACGACGGACGCCTCGGGAGACGCCAACGCGAAACGGGGCATACAAATCGTTCGCAGAGCTCGGGGCCACCCTGGGGCAGGCTGCTGAAGCCAGCCTGGGCAACCTCGGGGGGCCGTCTGTGCGCTACACCAAATATTTTCACATCTTCATTTCTGTCTCACTGCGGTCTTAATGCATTGCCTTTGCAAGTTCCTCTGCCATGCGCTTGCCGGCCTCCACCTCATCCTCGGGATCGTTGGGTCTCTGATAATCAGGGTGCGCTGGGTCCTTGAAGGCTATCTCCTGCCTGATCTTCCGCGCGGCATCCTCCTCGCCCCGCTTTGACGTCACCTGCAGTCGCTTGCCCGTCCCGTCCGAGGTGAGGCGCAGATTGTTCATGCCACCTATCGCTCGCTGCGCGGAGAACGGGCTGACGAAGCCGACGAACCCAAACCCGCGGCCCTCCTTGCCCTCGTCCTTCATCATCACCTTCGCGCTTGTGAGCTGCCCGTAGTGGATCATGTGCCTGTAGAGGTCGATGTCCTTCCAGTCGGGCGGGATGTTGAAGACGTAGAGGTTGGCCCCCGGAGGCGCCCGCGTGTTCGGGGGCTCGGAGCCGTACGTGCCGCCGGGCGGGTAGCAGTCCGGGAACGGGATAAGGAGGTGTTCCTCCCCCCTCTTCGGGCAGACGGACAGGAACTTCCCTGGCAACTCGAGCGGAGGTCCCACAGGCAGGCCGTCCATGCCCAGGATTGCCTTCCTCACCGCCTCCTTGTCCGAGTAGCCTATGAAGCCGAAGCCGCGCGACTCGTTGGTGTCCTTGTCCCGGACGATCGTGCAGGAGATGAGGTCCCCGTAGTGGTCAAAGCGCCTCGCGAGCTCCAGCTCGTCCCACTCCACGGGGATCCTGTGCACGTATATGTTGCACCCAACGTCGGCGCGCCCGCGGTTGATCTTGTGCCTGAGGTCCTGGTCACCGAAGATGTGCGGGTCACGCCGTCTGCGGTCATCCCTGTCCCTCGCTCCACCAAGGTCATCGACGCGAGCGCGGTCGTCTCTGCCGCGGTCATCCAGGCGGTAGCCGTCGCCCCTGCCGCGGTCATCACGAGGGTCGCGGCCGTAGTCCTGGCTGCCACCGCAAGCGCTGCTCTGCCCATAGCCATAGGCATAGCCAGCAGGTGGTGGAAAACCATATCCAGGGTACCCTGGGTACCCAGGGTACCCTGGGTACCCAGGGTATCCGGCGGGCTGCGGCATGTAGCCGGGATATCCGGGGTACCCGGTCTGCGGCATGTAGCCGGGGTACCCAGGCTGCGGCATGTAGCCCTGCGAGTGCCCGCTCCAGTCCGTCGGGGGCATGACAGGGGGCACGAAGAGCGCGTTGCCATCGGGGTGCCGGCGGCGGTCGCGATCGCGATCGCGGTCGCGGTCGCGATCCCGGTCGCGGTCAGCCATGCCTCAGCCTTGAGGGCAGAATGCAGCCAAACACGAGAGGACGCCAGGTATCCACCCACTCCGATCCTGGCCAAGCGCATTCTGGGACCGACACTGGTGCATGCGGAAGATTGGTGTCATGAGGGCGTGGGCTTTTTGGGTCATGTCGCATCGTGAACCCTCAGACCTTGAACTCCCGCGAATGCGCCACCGCCGATGGAACCATCGGGGCCACGCCAGTCGTGTAACCACGGTGAGCTGCAACGTAAGGGGAGCAACCAAAACTGGGTGCAAAATGTAGGCCGCAACGTATGGGGTGCAACGGGTAAGAGAAAGTTTGTTTTCAGATTTTCACGACAGCGGCCGTGACTGGCCCCGGCCGCCCCCTGCCCCCCCAGGTAACGTCACGAGTCGTGTCGACCTCCGAGCTGGCCTTGGTTATTCCTAGACATTCCCAGACGGCGCCGGCGCGAAACGTGACATTACTGGCCCCCGCCACCCGCCCCCCTCCCCCCTAGGACGGGGCTAGGACGAGGATAAATCCGTCCCAGAGCGTTCCAGAACGCTCTGAGAGCGTTCCAGAACGCTATGAGAAGGCCGCGGCGCCCGATACATCCTCTAGAGCCGCTGGAACTCAGAGATTCTGAATTAATCCTCACCCGAATTATCCTTGTCCTGGCCTTGTCTTACTCCCCTCCGTTGACGCCCGTTATCGCCGGGGCCTTATTTCTGGGACTTGATTGGTGCGACCCTCCAGGTGAGATCCTATGGAAAGTAGCTTATCGGTGGGACCCCACGGCCCTACCGGCGGGACCCAATAGGTTTATCCTCGGGGCGGGGGCCCTGTGAGTGACGCAATGGGGCACACCGTAGGGCGCCACGATACGCTCCCGCTCGCGCACAGAAGCGTACACGACAGGGTCCCACGATCGAGCCCCACCGCGAACAACCTGCACACCAACCCAGGCGATTCCCGACAGAGAGGAGCAAGTGAGCCACTGAAAAAACTGGTCTTATGCAAGACGGCATAGCGACCTCACGCGGTGTCTCACGCGGGCCTCTAGCGCAGCACGCTGCATTCGAAACGAGGGCGCTTACGAGCCATTTTTCGCAGGCAGCTTACGCGCGAATACCGGCGCAGTCAACCCCGTTGCCCTGCGTCGCTCGAGTGACAACTTCTCAGCACGAGCACTGCCTGGAGAACAGACGCGCACAAACCACAGACGTCCGCCGACGGCAGGTCTCCGCCGGCGCCGCGCCCCACTCCACGCGCATCTCGCAGAGTCCGAAGCTCATTGCGCATGTGTGCTCATCGGGCCTCCCGAGGGACGCCGACCAGCCGCACACGGATGAGCCTTGCTCCCTACCTGGAGCAGACCGATGCCTCGAGAGGGGCGTCGAGGCTGGCAGGTGCCGGCACCTCAGCTGCCCCCCAACTGGGGCTGGCCTGGGATGGGCCTGGGCCCATCCCGGGCCAGCTCGCGGTCCGAGATGGGCCCATCCTGGCGGCGCGCCGAAGGGAGAGGCCAGAGGGCGGGGGGGGGGGCACTCTGAGAAGGCTCGGAATGCCTCGAGGAAGGCCCTCTCAAGAAGCCAGGAAGGCTCAAGGGACCCCCCGACTGCGGCCCTCTCAGAAGGGCCCGTCCCCGCCGCCACCCTCCGACCCATAATTACCGCCTTCGCGCGCGCCGCCGACCACTCGAGGAAAAGAGAAGCATGCGTATGCACCGGCCTCCGCGCTGGCCCCTCCTGGGCCCAGGATCGGTGTCACGCGCACTCCTGGCCCTGCCAGGGAGGCGCGTGCACGCACCGATCCTGGGCCCAGAAAGTGGGCCTGGCCAGGATCGGTGGTTGTGCGTCAGAGTGAGGGCGCCGAAGGGTCTTGCACCGTCCCTGGGTGAGAGAAAGGGCGCCGCCTCAGCAGAGCCGTCTCGACTGCGGGGATGGGCGCGCAGCGCCGTAGCGCTCACATGGGGATGTCGAGGAATGCGCGCTCAAATGTGTGAAGCGGGAGACCGTGGCACAGACTATGCTTGTTTGTTGCTGGTTGCTGTGGCTGTTGTCGTCGTCCCCGCCCGCGGCCCACCCGCGACCCACTCACATGGCACATGGCGGGCTCGCTGTGTAATGTGTAAAAAGGTCGGCGCCTGCGGCGGGTTCCCCAGAGCCTCGCAGACTGCCGGCCAACCCCGCCACCCCCGCACTCTTATCCGCAACTGCCGGGGTTATGGTATTAGAGGCCTCCGAATAGGGTCTGAGTAAGGGAGGGGGTCGGAGGATCGCGCCGCATCGGCGATGCATCGGCGACGTCGGCGATGCATTGGCGACGTCGGCGAGAAGAACATCGGGCACCATATCGAGCCGCATCGCCGACTCATCGGCGATGCGGCGCGATCCACCGACCACATCTGTTCGGATCCCACCTGGGAAGCCTTGAACCCCAGACCCCCGACGTCATGTTTTTTGTGTGTTCATAACGTCGACCCTCAAAGTCTCGACTCATTTCCCGTGACCGATTTTTCATCCCGAGTCGTTCATGACGGTCCCGAAGCCCTGTCAGGGCCTCTGAAGTCTGAAACCGGCGAAAAACCTTCCGTCGTGATTTGCTTATGGCTCGAGGGGGTCACGCCTCGAAGGGGCATCGTCGCCCGAACCGTTTCCTGGGCCTGGGCTGTGTTGGCGGCGCGCACAAGGGGGGGTAGGGGGAGGGGGGAAGGTTTCTGAGGAGGCTCATCGACAAGGCCCGCGCCTTCTGAGAAGCAGGGGTGCTCCTAAGAAGCCTCCCCCCCTCTCCCCTGCCCCCCTCTGCGTGGCTGAAGCGGAACGGTGGATACGACTCGCGGTCCCCGGGTGAGCGGGCGGCAGGAGCCGCCTCTGACTGGGTCGCGCGCCCGCGCGGCCGCCCCTCGCCGGGACCCGCTCGGCCCGCGGCCTGTCTCCGAGCCAGAGCGGCGAGTGGCCGGGGCGCGGGCGCGGCCCGGGTGCCGGGGCGTCAATGTGCCCCCCCCCCCCCGGGGCTTCCCAGGAGGCACCCACGGCCTCCAGGGGCACCCTCACGAGGCGCAGAGGGCCCCAGGGGCAACCCCCGACTGTGCGGGCGAGCAATGACTCGAGATCCGGGCGTCGCAATTGGTTCCAGTCGGGGGGTGTTGCCCAGCGGGGGGTGGGGGCGGAGGAGGGGGAAGGGAAGGGGGAGGAGCATTTGCAAACGTGGGGGCGGTTATCAGGAGAAGGGGGAGGAGGAGGAGCAGGAGGAGGAGGAGGAGGAAGAGGAGGAGAAGGTGGAGAGGAGGAGGAGGAGGAGGAGGAGGAGAAGGTGGAGAAGAGGAGGAAGGTGGAGGAGGAGGAGGAGGAGGAGGAGGAGGAGGAGAAGGTGGAGGAGGAGGAGGAGGAGAAGGTGAGGAGGAGGAGAAGGGAGAAGCGGAGGAAGTGGACGAGGATCGGATCGGATCAGAAACGTTGGGGACGGTGTCAAGCTCCCAAGCAGGCTGCCTGCTTGCACAAGCGATTCGAAAGAGTACTCGTCACTGCGACGACCAGTGGACCAATTAACATCCAGAACTCAAAGCCTCCGAGGCCCCTGCAGGGGGGCGGGGGGGCATCGGGCCCCAAAGGCAAGCCGCGAGACGGGGGGGGAGTGTCCCCCCAGGGGTGTCCCACAGGGGGTGTGTTCCCCCAGGAGCAAGAAGAGGAAGAGGATTTTTCTTCCGCGAGGACTTTCACCTCATAATAAATATAAAGCGGCATTGTGAGCGACCGCTCCGCACCAGATGCCTCAGGCATCTGGCTCTGGTCTGCACTCCTGGACCCAGGGACCGCCTTGAACGGAGGCCCCTTCGAGTTTCGGGTGCGCTCCCGATAAAATCAGCTTTCAGGAAACAACGGATTCCAGCACTGGTCGCGAAACCTTTACAGTGCTGGGCCAAATTACGCTCCATGCCGCGACCCGAGTAGGTTTTGCAACGCAGGCAGACGACCAGGGCGGCTACATCGGGGCACCCATGAGCAACAACATTGTGCTGGAGCCTCCTGCCCGAAACAATTCAGGATCGAGCGTTTGAAGCATGACCCGTCCTCGAACATCTCCCTGGCGTTCGAACCGAAGGCAGAGCTCGGTCACCGCCCCCTCGTCCTTCAAGAGTCTAGGATACTGCTCTCCAGGACGCGCGAATGCGCCGAAGGTGGCCCGCACGTCGTCGGCGTCCTGCGCCCAGTGACGAAACGCAGCTGGGATTGAAGCTGCTCGGGTGTCCTTGCGCGCCGAGCAGCGCCATGCACGGTGCCTGGGCGCGCCCACCTCTGCGCCGCATAAACCGCACGCGTCACTGATGTGATGCGCCATCTCGTTGGCCCTGGACCGAGTATAAGCCGCGCGGCAGAACAACCGTCGGATATGCCATTCCTCGGAAGGAGTCAATCTGGAGCTGCGAAACCAGGAGGGGACGCCATCGCAACGCGCGCGACCGACCTGGAGCCGAGCTCCAAGGCACCACCCCAAAGACTTGAAAACAGCGCGCTCAAGCAACGCACGAACCATGTCAAACGAAACTTCAATCAGATGAACGTCGCCCCCCCCCCACCCACCCACCCCACCCAGATAATCCCGAAGCGCAGTAGAGGAGAGCATGGCCCAAGAAATGCGCTCAAGCGCATTGCTCATGGCACTTATCGGGCCCTGCGCGACCTCCAAAGCCCCGACTCCCTGGAACAAAAAATTATCCCAAATCGCTCTCAGCGTTCCAAACGAGACAGCAAACCGGCACAGACGGCGGTGAATGATTCAAACCTCTTGCGCTCACCTGGCGACCCGGGAGACAGCGGCGCTTGGGGCCCCCGTGGCAGAGCATCAACACCGCGAAACTCCTGCTCTGGGCACTAGGGCGCAGGGCCTTGCCAGCCAACCACCTTAGCTGCAGGAACTCAGAATCAGACAAACCGAAGACTTCACGTCCAAACGCGGCGCATGGCAGGGGTCGAGCAGAGAAAAACAATGTTTGTACCGCCGCCCACCACTGGTGGGCCTGATCCGAACGAATCGGCGCGCGCGCGATCCCTGGCCTGGCGAAGCCCGGCTTTTGTTTCGCCGACCTCCGCAAGCGCCTCCGCGCTCTCCCGGCGGCAAGCAGAGTCGGAGTCCAAAACGAGGCGCCCGCGAGAACCCCCCGG